GACAATATAATCGCTTCAATGCAGATATCGCGCTTGGCGTAACATCCAACATTCACATAGTGCTGCATGTCTCAACGCATTGGCAGCCATCTGAATTGCCTCATCTCTCGGCGGCTCGTTGTTCGACATTCACAGACTGGACATCTACCTCTAACAAACAGCTGTGTTACCATGATGGAAATTCAAGCCGTCTTCGGATTTACGTTAAGAGGTAGGCCATTGTTGTTTCAATCTGAATACTGCGGTCGACGTTTTGCCACCAAAGTAAACAAACGTATTTAAGATTCTCAGTGGGGCTCCATTCATGATAAACCGTCGAGAAATTTACTTGCAATAATAAATACTTCATGTGTTAGACAGACAAGATGGTTGTTATGTAGATTTAATCAGCGATTTCTTTGCATTAGTATTCAACAGGATGCGTGTGTAGCAGGAGGCTAGGATGTTTTTCCATCGATGCAGGTTTAAGCTTTTTTATGCTCATTGGGGCCTAACTCACTTCTGATCCTCTGGTAATTTCAAGCGGCCTGACGCATTTAATGTGGTGGTTAACAGTGCCTGAAAAATATCATGGCCTATATTCCGAAGAAGCAATTTCCATAAGTAATGATCAATTAGACCGATTTATATTTCTCATTATCTTACGGGGTAATCCTACAGTATTTCAAACTCGGCAGAATGTTGATTTATGAATGCTCTTCTTCTTCTTCACCTTCTGTAAAACCGCAATCGGTCAAGAATGACAAGATATTTCACATGCATTTTTTATATTGATCTTTGATGGTCTTATGAATTTAAAGACATTTCGAAAAAAATAAACTAAACATACTTTCTTTTACTACTTTGTTAGGGAATTGTGTCACAAGTGAAGAAGGAGTTAAATTAGATTTTAAAACGTTTTCTAATTCCGGAATAATCTGGGGCATTTCAGCCGTTACATTTGTGTTTCCTGAATTTATTCTACAAGCTGCTTTGTTCCAGGTATGAAAGCCTTACAATTTTCTGTCTTTGAACAGGTCTTATATACAGTACATACAATTACGCACTTGATGCGGAATATGTTGGACATTACACGAATGGTAGCGGTAAACCGACAGGTTGGTGGACATTGCAAAGTTTTAAAAAATCTCATAATAAGGAACTTTTCAAAACCTTATTATAATCCTCCTTCCGATATAAAATATACAGATGACGCGATTCTCTATCCCATGAGTAAAAATAAGACTTTTTACCATATGAAATATATTTGAATATATAAGGCAATCGATAATTAACGGGAGAAACGCATGCCAGTAAAGAAGTTATTCTTGGTTGAGTGCAGTTAATGCAGGAGATCGGAAAAAAGCATTCATATGTTGCTATACTGTTAGGCCTGAACCATCCAAGTAATCCTTCCTAATCGGAAACATCTTCCAGAATGTTGGCCACAATTTCATGTCATCGGTCACTCAATGTGATATGTGAAATAGAAAGAGACCATAAGGGTTATGCAATTGTAATGTTGCCCATTAGTCAAACCAGTTCCAATAAACTTTCCTTGCGCATGCAGAATATTATTACAAGCACTCTTTTCAAGGAAAAAGATACCAAAATGTCTTTTATAATAATAGCTCACGTAGACTAGGTGGACCTGCGAAATGTATTTCTACTAGTTTTTAGTCTATCATTGACTATATATTAGATACTCTAATATATTCAAGATCAAAACGTGGTAAAAAAGAACAGAAATACTAAGGAGGATCACAATTCAGTCGTTACTATCTCTTTTTAGAGACATGAGTTCCAACTGGACTTCTCAAAGGCCTCTATCGTGTGCATCTCTTATTCGCTTAAAACAGCTGTCTAGACAAGCCTTCTGTAAAAGAAATGTTCAAAACTTACATCAGCCGATATCTTTAAACCTAATTCGCCAACCAAAGTTTTAAGGAATATTATTGGTTCAAAACAGAAAGCTACATGCGATCGAACTTTAAACTGGTCTGCATTGGGCATTGCAAACCCAGAAACATTACAAAACACCTGATTTTTTAGGTAAGCGAGTACAATTATTAGCAACACTAGGATACCAGGTGTTGATTGTGGGATCCCAAAAAGTTTGCATTATATAAATAGTGTTCACGGAAGACGATGTATTTAATAATGATACTTTACACAACGGTTCTATTATCTTGTGAAGTAGGAGCCTGTTCCCCTCGTCCGACACCTCAAAGATCTACTATTAAAGGTTTGTATTCGGATTTGCATATAAAGCACTTTTTTTAAATTTTCAAGAATATTTCCACTTGCCATTATAAAATTAGCCGATCACCGCACAATCATATATACAGTTTGCCAACTCATTCGACTTTAAATATACGATTAAAATTTGTAACACAATCTGATGCAAGATTTGCTTTCGGCAAAACAATAAAAGTCATAAAATCAATTATAAATATTTTATCCATAGTTTGTTTACTAGGGAATTTATCCAGGTTAATTCGCTAAAACAAACTTATTAGTAACTTTACTTATTTTAATTGACATATATGAAATGGCTTTCATTATATCCAATTATTACGTGATTTATGACATTTCGTATGAATAGGTTACCACGTCAGTTTTACTACAAATAACTGAGTAAAATTTTACGCAGTAATATTGCCGCGAACGAAGGTTGAACGCATACATAAAACGCATTACGGAAATGCTGAACACTACTTGTTACCGTCATATCTTTCTCGCCAGTACAAGACATACTTGATGTGCATGCAAAACTCATCATGGATTTTTAGTTTGCGTTGGGCTGACTGCCCATTTCTATGCATTTCTACCTGGTACACGTATATATAGATATTTGTAAAAAAATATGGGTTCCGTGGAACAAGAGGATTTAGTGCGTTAATTTTCGATGCTGGCTCCCCACGTCGTGTTCAGGCGCAAACGGGAAGGATATGTGAAAGCAGGAAACAGCTAACATCTGAAATGCACATGAAATCGATACTTGCATGTCGTGTGTGCCGGTATACGGCCGCCGTGCGTCGATCTGAGCTGGTTGGTTTCTTTCTCTTCCATTTAAAGTGCGCCCAAACTGGCCAATGTGTTCATCCCGTAGATATTAACATCAGCTAGCAGTGAAAAGGCGCGCCCGTCTATCTAAAGTAGTCATGCACACAGTGGAAAGTGAAGGCAGTGAACTCAGATGAAGCATGCATTAACCGGCATATCGACCAAATGCCACATGCAGAATCTTTAGGGAGAAATGCTAACTGACTTAATTAAGCCCACGATAATGACTTTAGCCGATGATCGAATCCGTTCAGACGATGAGGATGCGATCGTTGGAACAAGAAAATTATTGGCCTGACTTTTCGGATTCTCACTCGAATCCATTATCAGAAACATTCGCAGATAAAGGTGATGGTGGAACTAGGAGTGCAGTATTTATAGCACGTGGCTGCCGTGGACGATATTCGCACTGCAACTAACAGTTTTTGCAATTACCGCTGGGGTCGTAATTGATGCGGTGGTGGCTTGTCGGTCCGAGTCCGAGTCGTTAATTGCCGCGATTTCGTTATCCATGCTGGATGCTGGTGTGACGATTGCTCAGCAAACTGGCTCACTGTCACCGTGATAATTGCTCATCCGCGACCTCCCCACGTGACTGTTTCTCCTGTCCAGGGAAAATTGCAGTACGGAATAGGTTACCTGGAGGTCATTGTGCTTGTTGATGGATTGTGGGCCTGAAAACCATGACTCGAGCGGCTTGCGGCTCACGCGGTTGTCACACCTAGCGATGATTTCGCCCTTATGAAATCTGAAACTATCGCCGGGTCCCTTTGAGTGCGCCGCCGCCGCCGCCGAAGATTTAGCCTCTCCACTGCTGCTGTGTGCTCGGCCATTCGCGCACGGAGTAATCTCCCAGTTTCTCTGACATAATGGCTTTGTCGGCAACTGCACCTGATCCGGTTAACGACTCCAGACGTTTCCTGCCGTAACAGCGGGTCTTTTGGCCTCATGACTTGACGCCTTATGGTTTCTTCCGGCCTGTGTGCAACCCCAACTCCAAGTGGAGTGAGAAGACGACTGACGGCTTCCGAGACGTTCTTCACTTACGGAAGAGCCCGCCAAAATTTGCGGCCGATTGGATTTGGTCTCTGGTGTCCTTTTCGTATGCACTGGTTGACAAAGTTGCGCCGGTAACCATTGGCGCTCATTACCCATCAAAGATATTGTAATTCGGCAACCTTGTCTTCCATTTCACTGCAGTGAGTCTCAACGCGCCGATATAGCGCCCTAAAGCAACTGCGTTTGTGACTGGTCGGGATGTTGGTATTGAGGTTCAGTATTTGCGTCGTATTTGTCGCTTTCCTGAACAGTTTGGTTTTTAGGCCACTACAATCTTTGCGGCAGACGAGAAAATCCAGGAAGGCCAGTTGATTGTTTTCCTCCTCCGCTATCGTAAATTTAATGTCCGGGAATACGGCGTTGAGATGTTCTTTGAATGTGAGCACCTGATCTCGTTTGATGACGACAAAGGTATCATCCATATACCGAGCCCAGAATTTCGGTCTGTGGTTACAGAAAACCAGCGACTTCGGTCGCTTTAGGACAGACTCGGCTAGGAGCCCCGAAATCGGTGAATCAATTGGCGTTCCCTTCACCTGCTCGTAGATTGTTCCGTCGAACGTAAAGTACGTCTTGAGACAGAACTTCAGGAGCTGGATGATTTGGGCGTGTCCGAGGCGATTCTTTCTTTCGAAGTATTTCTCTCATAGGAGTATTTCAATTGTCTTATTTGCCAGGTCCTGCGGGATAGAAGTAAAAAGGGACGTGACATCAGAGTAAACCATGATATCGCTTGGCAGAAGACTTACTCCTTTAAGTTTCTCCACGAATTGCGTTGAACAGCCGACTGTGGTGTTCGAATCAGAGGTCAGAAACTCGAGACGTTGGAACAGGCACTTTGGCAGTCGGTAGGTTGGAGTGCCCTTTAGTGATACGATAGGCCGGAGAGGAGCGCCCTATTTGTGAACTTTTAGGAGACCGTAGATTCGGGCTAGGGCCGTTCCTTGCGCTATCGTCATGCATCGGTCGATTGGCGATATTGCAACTGAGTTCTCGATTGCCAACAGCGTCGCGTTAATCTCGCATGTCATTGTTTTTTTGGGGTTGGATTCGCATAGGACATAGGACTGACGACCGTCCAAGAAGCTGTTTGCTTTTTGATTGTAGTCTGTCCTGTCCAATTCGACCGTTGAACGCCCTTTGTCCGCAGGCACGATAACGTGGTCGTTGTTGCCTCTGAGTTCCTTAAGTGCATCGCGCTCGACCTTGGAAAGCACGTAACGCTGCCTATGAGCCATGAGGAGGGAGGACACCTGGTGTCGAATGAGGTTCTTCGTTTCGTCTGTCTCGCCAATCTGGCCGAGGATTGATTCCAATGCTGCGACCATGTTGGCACTTTTGTCATCGGCTGTGTTGAATGAGGCCTCATGTCATTAAACCTGCATTTCTTCCTCCGTCAGCTCCTTTGACGACAAGTTGTGCACCAGTTTGTCGTTCTTGGATGAGATTGGGGCAGGCAGGTTATGAAATGTGTTCTATAAGGCTGCTTCGCGCGTTGCTTTATGTTCGCGGGTTTGTTCGGCCAGCCTTTGCTGAGGCAGTTTTATGCCGTCCTTACCCATGAACTCGCTGCAACTTGCTTTCTCTTGTCCAATCCTCTGACAGTATTTGCGAATCCGTGAGTGATAGTCTTGACGGAACACTCAGATAATTCATCTTCCGTTCTGAAGTACTGGGCGTCTCGCCAACTCTGTGTTGACCGGAGGTTTGTATGGAAAACACTTCGGCTGCACATTGTAGTCTAGACACCTATGCAGAAATCGAATCTGCGCATATGTAGACGACTCTCGAAGGGTAAAGGTTTCCCACCGTCGAGTCGATCGGAGCGCCTTGCGCCAAAATATATTGCTGATAGAATCGAATGTCTCTGATGATGGATTCGAGAGAAAATCCGAAACGTCAGGCCAACAAATTTCTTGTTCCAGCGATCGCATGTTCATCTTCTGAACTGCTACCTGGAACTCGCCTGTACGCTTCTATCAACGAAGGAACAACCATTAGGGATCCATGTGTTGGAGGTTTAGAAAACGCGAGGGGATTGCGGATCAGTGGGAATGCGGGCGCTTGGTGACTGCTGTGGGATGAGATCAGGGGCAATGCTCGGGCGTCTAGATCGACGTGACGGTTGCGCTGGTCGTGCCAGAATGCCAAGCTTCGAGGAATTCTCGCGGTTGTCTGGCGTTAGCCTTTGCGATCATTTCAGCACCGTCCCAATTGAAGCGGTGGTTATGTTCAAGGGCGTGCGCAAACACGAGGAACAGAGGGTCACGTCGGCGGATGGCTTACTTGTGCTCGTTAATGCGCATCCCAAGACATCGTCCTGTATGGACAATATAAACAGAAGGGCGGTTGGTGCATGGTATACTGTAGGTGATGTTAGTAAGTTTTTCGTTGGGCACCGGGTCCTTTACTCGGCATAATGTCTCACGTAGGGAATATGCGGGCTTGTGGGCAATGGAGATGCCAAAGCGTTTTTATTATCAGGAGAGTGTTTCAGAAATTCCTTGAATGTACGGCAGTGAATAGAATTTCTGTTGCACTATATCTACCTTAGAGTCGGGACTTGGTAGTTGTCTCTGGCGTCTGAGACAGTTCTTTACACAACTGGCAGGATATCCGTTGTACCGGATTTACCGATGTAAGTAGACCAATTCTTTTATAATTAAGTCATTAGTGTTGCGAATGCGATAAAACCGATGGAATACAGTGCGGACACAAATTCGTTTATGGGCCGCAGAATGATTGCTCCCATAGTTAAGTATGCTTTTGACACTAGAGTCCTTTGTGTGGACGCTTGTTGCTATTTTGTTATCACTAAGTCTTTATATACTCACATCTAAGAGCGAAAGGGTATCTCCAGTTGCTTCTTCTCGAGTAAACAGTATAGCCGGGAAGACGCTATTTAAGTTCCGGTGCAATCGCTCAACTTCGCTGGTCTTTATGATGCCAAACGTGTCGTCCACGTAGCGGAGCCACATTTTTTGTTTGAAGGTTTGGACAACATCCCGTTCTAGTCGCTGCAAGACTAGTAATGTAGGTAGCGGCGATATTGGTGAGCCCAGCAGGTGCGCTTAAGTTGTTGATAATACTTGTCATCGAACTGGGCATTCCAGTGTCCCCTGTCGTTGTCGGTAATGCTTTTCTGCCTATCTCATGCTCCACTGTGCTGATGGTGGTTGGATCGAAAGAGTGCCCTAAGGCGCAACGGGACGAGTTAGTTTCTTATAAACGATCGATAATAGCCACATTGACCCATGAAATGTCAACGGATATTTCGAAATTAGTTTTTGTTTCGAAAAGATTAATTCATTTTGGTTGCAAAATTGATTATCTCGCAGCACAATTCTATATTAATTCAGCGACTTCGAATAAATTTTTTTTCCGGCTACCTGCAAAAACCATATTCGGTAAAAAATGACTACCTACTTTGCAGACATTTTTCTCGTTGACTTTTGATTCCCTTAAAAAGTGAATCATATTTTATATAAAGCATGCATCAAATAATCATTCTTTTGCTCATTCCGTAGAATCTTACATCTTTTTTCCAATTTTATTTTCGAGGAAAGTGTACAATTTGCTTTTAAAACACTTTTTAAATTCCCGAATAATTCTCAACGTAGCCTATCGTTACACTTGCATTTAGGGTTTCCACACTGCAGGCCGAATAATTTTTGCGAAATGATAACTTTACATTTCTCTATGCCATTTATAGTAACCTGTGCGTGATATAAAAAATTATTAGTGGATTTTAACCATATTGTAAAAGTATTAATATAAGTAAATGCAAAACAATTATGTTTTAGCAACCTCCATTTCACGGAATTCAGAAATTGCGCAATTAAAATGCATTTTAAATACGACCTTCACCATGGCTTTGAATATAAAGTAGGAAAATGGTGTTATATTCTAGCGAATAAGCAAACGAATGAATAGTTTGCGCATGCTTTCCTATATATATAAGAAAATTTTTAAAGACATTGACAATCAATAAGAAACATGCATGCTATAGAAGTATTCATTTTTGCGATTATTTTTTGGGTGCAGCCGGAATCCTGAGATTACTAAATTATTTTAGAAATACGCTGCGTGGTGAATGGTGTTACAACCCTACTTAATAATTTTTTTCGAAACAAAAACGTATTTCAGTATATCTATTGACATTTTATGAGTTTGCCTATCTGCTGATATACATATATATAATCAACTAACTGAAGCGAACAAGTTTAGGACTGTGGAAATATGCCGTCGCATAAAGGCGCTTTTACTGTGCTAATTCGTCTAACGAGGACACTCAAATCAAAAATGCGTGCAATACAGACGTTTAAATTTGGTTAACATGGATGCCATTACCTTTTAATTTTTGCTCGATTTATATGAAAACCTTAATATTTCTTAACAGGTCACCATTGGCGATACGTATTATCCTTTGCGGGTCCAAATGCATAACAATCTTTCTACGAACAATACTCACCAGTCATAGTAGCTAAAATATAATAATCATTTTATTTTCCGTAAGACGAATAATAATTTATTATATTCACAAATACCCACAGACCGTGAGGATTGTAAAGCAAACTCGGATGGAAGTCTACATTACATGGCGGAAAGTCTTTTATCAGACGCTATAAGACGGACGTTCCCATCTATCCAGTCCCAATGCCTTAATTGGCCAAACGGTCAAATAACCAAATTTATGTTTGGCAAACGGAGTACTTGCACCATAGACCGCATCATCTCCCCAACGGGAATTCAATCCTATACATGCGCACTTGAAGTTTTTGTCCATGCTATTCCGATTTGGTCCACAGCGGGATACCAGCCACTTGAACTGACCCCGGAACTCCTACAGTCACACCCGGACTTTAAAAGGGACGCAAAGCAGGTTACCGTTGTTTTCAATGCGCTTCATGACACAACTAGTAATTCCGAATACTTCCAGTTCATCAGTCTGCAGAAGATATCGTACAAGACATTGACATATTTTCCTGATTGTCATTTTGCTTCGCTTGACACTCAGGTGGCCACGTTTGAGGATCGGCGTTTTTTGGCAATTCTTTGGCCAGTTTTTGTCAATGCTGAGTCACATGCGTGTCAAACGGATCCCATTTAACTGTTCTCCAATCACACTAAAAATGAGTACAATGGGAATATTGTTTTCACCTCTGTCTCTTTCTCCAATCAGTTCTATTCAGATCACCTTACTTGTTGGTGATAACTTAAAAAAATTAAAACGGTTGACGTTTAATAGTATTTTTCTGATTGTTTCATTATCATTTTCGATACACTTATAAGTTCAAATATCTGTCAATGATAACATGCCAAAAATATTTATACGTTCAAATAATTTGGAGAAAAGGCTTCGTTCCATTAGACGCTTGGAGAAAAGCATAAGTTGGTCTTAACAAACTTCTCCTACTTTTAAAGCATTTTGATCCACACCTGAATTTGCACTTGCATTCAGCGTTTTCAACTTACAAGAGGTATATTCTTAGTACATGGGAAACAATTCATTGCTATACGCCACTACAAGGAGACCACAAAATCTATCATGAAATCATAAAATATATCGGGGATCCGAGACATATTGTAGGTTTTACTAGGAAGACTGCTAAGTTTTTATGGATAGGAGTTACCGTTCTTTAAACATCGCTTATTCACAAATTTGTTAAAGACCAATTTATACACTTTTGGCAGATAAATAATGGGAAGAAAACTTTATTTTCTATCGAGAGGGGAAAAGAATGAATTGCCAATAGAGGCAATGAGACGAGTCCCAGGAAGTAGTCTTGAAGAAGGAGACACTATCGCTGGCGTCGGAAAGATATCCGGATTCCAAAGTTACCATACATTTGTCTATTGATGTGTTTGTGCAAAATATATCGCCTATAAACGCAAGGGAAAATAGGATGAGAATTCGTATCTTACTAGTCGCCATCACCCAGATAAAACACGATGTAATTCATATGGGAACAAAATCTGCGGTTGTAAATAGGTATCTGGTAAAGTGAGTGTACACTGCAAAGCAATACGGATTTGGCAGAATATTCAGCAGTTTATACCGACATTAGGAACTCATTAAAACCGCTCACTGCAGAACGGTATTTCGTACCATGTAAATTGGTTAGTCCGCATCTAACAAGCATCAGAAACCCGCTAAATAGGTAGTGATGAAACAATTGGACGCTGATCCTTAGAAAGACTTATTGCAAAGTTACCGCACAGTGTTCACACAGAAAAACTCTTATACCTGTCATCCCGCTTGTAGGTCGTCCTACATTTATCACTGGATTCACATTAATCACGGAAGGCTCGGGTACCAACATACCAA